TTCCTACTTTTAGTCCTTCTAATTGGGCTATGAGATCTTGGTGCTCCTTTTCCAGTTTTATTTGCTCTTTGAGGTGTTCAATTTTATCTCTAAGTTCTTTTCTAGGGTCAAGGACTGGACAGGCCAGCGGGGGAGCACTGGGATTATTATTGTAAGGTGGAGGGCATTGAGAAACAAGCGGCCAGTCAGAGTTACGATATCTGGCAACTTCATCCGCCAATTCATCCCAATTAACCTCCCCTCCGTCAGGAACAGTCTCCAAATCGGGATAAATAGAGCTTTTAGGCATAATTTTATTCCGAGTGGGCTCAGTTTTTTCTTCCTCATTATCACTATCGAATGACATGAAGTCCTCACATTCCTTACTTTCATTTTCATTCCACTTTTTTTCTTTCTGTAATATACCCTCGCCATATACTACTACATTGGCAACGAGAGGATCAGAATGTCTATGAGATAAAATCTCATCTATTAAATACCAATAAGAAAAAGCAGTTACCGGGACCTTCTCGGGTCCATAAGTCTTATAATAATCTCTAAGAGCATCACCGACTATTTTCCACCGTTTTTGATCTATAATTCCCTCTGTACCAAACCAAGGACAAACTTCTTTAATATAATCAAATACTGACACAAATGCTTAATTTTCACCTTTACTCCTCGTGCCTTTATAGCCTTTCCTAGTCCTTCAACGAACATCTTATCTTGGCTCAATGCTTGACCCATAATCGCCATTCACTTACCCGAGGGGTGCAGACGCAGCAGGTTCCCACGTCGTTCCCTCTTTTCTTTTCCTTTCTGCCGGCCACTCGAACGGCGTCCTTCACTGGATCCCCCGTGCTGGAGCCCCACGTTGGGCGCCACGTCCCGCAGGTCGAGCAACGAGGACTCTAGAGGGGGAGTGAGGATGAGGAGGGACAAGAGACGCGTGAAATGGAGACAAGACAGGGCTCTGATCAAGTCTCGTTTATTCTGGGTAGATCCACAGTATATATAGGGCAAGAAGCAGAAAAATAAGAACATTTGTTGCCAAGCGATAAGTTTGTGGTAACCACCCCGAAGCAATTTCAGGTAAATATCACGTAAATATCCCGGGTGGAACAAATGATAAACAGAGCATAACTGGCTGAGTAAATGGTTACTTAAAGGAATGCAGAAACATTGTATGCAGAGATGCAGAGATATCCTGCCTTGGGGCAGGAGATGGCAGAGCAGATTTTTGCAAAATGGATGCCATGCAAACAGTCTCCCACACAGGGGTACCAGCATTCGGTCTGTAGTACAGACTTTGCCAGTATATATCTCCGTGGATATTTTTTCATTGCGCTCTTTTGTTACAGTCCTTTGTGTTCTTGTCTTTTACCCATTCATACTTCTAAGTACTCTGAGGGCAAGGAGTGGGCTAACCATCTTTCTTATAAGTCCTGGCCTGTTCTCACACATTGCAAATATTGAATACATATTTATGTATGAGGTACTGTGTTGAGCATTTTACATGGAATCTTCTCAACTCTTCACAGCCACCCTTTATTTTACATATAAGGAATCTGAGGTTCTGAGATGTTTAATAGTCTGCTCATAGCTGGTAAGCAAAGATTTGAACCCTGGTCCTGACTCTGGAGCCCTTTCCCTCAACCCAGTATGTTTTTCTCTCTTCATTTTTGGAGGCAGGCATGGAGCTCTGCTGCCTGCCTGCCAGTTATTCAACATGTGTCAAGCAATTAGAACTGGCCAGAAGGAGGGACCTTGGTGATCATCTGGTTGAACCTCCTGAAATTACCTTTGAAGGAACTGAGTTTCTTGTGGGGGTCAAGTAATTTGCTCAAGGTCTCCCATTTAAAAAAAAAAAAAAAAATCACCTTTTAGGATCATTATTAAACACCTAGTACACCCTGGCCAGTTTGGCTGAGTGGTTAGAGTGTTGGCCTGCGGACCAATGAGTTATGGGTTCGATTCCAGTCAAGGGCACATAACCTCCGTTGTAGTTCATCCCTGGCCCTGGTCGGGTTGTGCAGGAGGCAGCTAGTCGATGTGGCTCTATCACATCCATGTTTCTCTCTCTCCCTCCCTCCCTCCCTCCCACTCTATCTGATGATAAATGGAAAAAGTATCCTTGGTGAGGAATAAAAGAAAACACAAAAAACATCTAGTACGCATTTAATGAAATCTACTTCCTTTGATCATCCAGAATTGTTCCCTGATTGCAGGGCTCTGAACCCAGTACTTATAAATCCCAGTCCATCCCTAGAACCCTGGTGGGTGAAATTATAGGGCAGCCATGTGGAATGACACTGCCATCTAGTGGATTACTTTTTAAAAAGTCTGTGTATTCAGTGGCTCAGAAGCTTGCTTCAAGACAGTATTCATTTGTTCAACAAATACTCATTGTACATTTTTGTGAAAAAGTCTGTTCAGGCATTGGGTATATTGTCGGGGGTGAAATGAATGAACTGCCTTCATGGAACTTACAGTCTAGAGGAATGTCTCTTTTCCAAAAAGCTCAGAATTGTTGGTGGGTCTCAGACAAACTGGTAGGTTTAGTTTCTCAAATAACAGGCAAGGAAACTGTCTTGAGTGGCCTGCTGGGTGGGTTGGAATCCTGGCTTACGATTCCATTGCAGGAGGAGCTAAGGATGTGGTGAATTCTATGCCTAGATGATTAGGAGCATTGGCAGGAGACATATACCATTCCATTTGAGGTTTCTTCTTCCTTTTCCTTTGGAATCTCATTCATTTACATGTTTTTTCTGAGTGCTGGGTCCTGATAGTCACATAAAGATCAATCCATTCATTCCTCAGGTATCTTTTGTTTGCTTACTATGGGCAGGCACCCCTTCAGGGACCTGGGATAAAAAAGTAGAAAAATGAGACAAGTTCTTTGCTTGTAGTGACTTTATATTTTAGTAATCAGTACACAAGAAACGAGAGAAATAAATAAGAATGTTACATAGTGATAAGGAAATAAACTGGGAGAGAAGATGGAAACTCCCCGAGGTAATCTATCTAAAATAATGTGGTCAACGAAGGCTGCTCTGAAGGGGTAACATTTGAATGGAGACCAGAAGGATGAGAAGGAAGGCCTGAACTAAGTGAGAAGCTGGGGCAGTGTCATATAATCTGAATGACTGGGTCATGAAACAGAGTAGAGTAGGTTGGGACAGAATGAAAAATATGGAAGTGTGTTGTACTTAATATAAATGTATGTTTATTAGGTCTTAATGCAAAAGGTATTTCTTATTGTGTGCTGAAGTTAAAAATAATTGGAGCCCTGGCTGGTTTGTCTCAGCAGTTAGAGTGTCAACCTGCGGTCCAGAGAGACCCGGGTTCGGTTCCTGCTAAGGGCATGTATCTCGGTTGCAGTTTGTCTCCGGCCCTGGTTGGGTCGTGCGGGTGGTAACCACTTGATGTGTCCCTTTCACGTCGATGTTTCTCTTTCTTTCTCTCCTCCCACTCTATCTGAACAAAATATGGAAAAATGTCCTCAGGTGAGGATAAAAAAATAAAATAATTAGATATTTATCTAGGGGGGAGGAGGTGCAGAGGCACACCGAGTGCAAAAGTTGCATGGAAGAAGGAGATTTGGAGTGTTGGAGGAAGCAAGGAGCCCAGAGTGGCTGGAGCACAGTGAGAGTGGGTCGGGGTAGAAGGAGGGGAGGCAGGATTTCTGGGCAGGTCCACACCGGGTCTTGCAGGCTATGGTAGAGGCCAGGGGAAGGCATTGAAGGGGCTGTGAGAACATCTGATTTAGGTTTTAGGAAAGGTATTCTGGCTGTGAGTGGAGACTGGACTGGAAAAGGAGAGAGAGAGAATGAAACAGGGAGACCAGTTACAAGAGGAGTGTATCTGCCTGGAGATGATGTGGCTGGCTGAGGGTGGGAGCAGGGATGGAAGCCCATCTACTGATGTCTCTGGTGATAACAACAACCGAGGTGTACAGAACACTTCCTGGTTTTCAAATTGTTTGCATCCTCTAGCTCATTTTCTCAGAGCAAGGGCAGATACTATCATCTCCATTTTCCAGGTATGAGAACAAGGCCCAGAGAGGATAAGAGACTTGAGCCAGTCTCACCAGCTAGAAAAGCATAGAACTGCAGCTCCAACCCAGGCATGTGCTCTGCCAGCTTGCGCACTGATGCTGGGCTCTGCTGCTTTTCTCAGAGGACTTTCCTCCTGGCTCCTTCATCCTGCCTGACTGCAGGAGGCACTTCGTCAGTTGTCAGAATGACCCTTTTTCCAGTTACAGTCCTAGTTAGCAAGCCCAAGCAGGGAGGACGTCTGAAGGCTGTGGGTGGTCAGGGGAGTTAGTGTGGGAAGCTGTACTACCTAGTGATTTAAAGACCATCAAGAGTCTTGGAGGCAGATCAATCAAGACAGAAGTCCCAGCTCTGCCCTGTACCAGCTGCCTCCGGGTCCTTAATGTGAGCAGGCTTAATTTTCCTCCAGTAAATTAGAGGTAAATACAATATCTTCTTTTTAGGAACTTAATGAGTATTAAATGACTAGAATTAATGAGGTTTGAACAAGGTAACATATGTATAGCTATGGATTAAGTGCCTGGCACAGAGTTAAGTGCTCGGCTAACCATTACCACTATTCATATTTCTGTTTCATTTGTTTTTTTAATTTTAATTAATTGATTAATTTTTGTTACTCTTAACCCGAAGATATTTTTCCATTGATTTTCAGATAGTGTGGAAGGGAGGGAGAGAGAGAGAGAGAAGGAAACATCCGTGTGAGAGAGAGACATCAATTGGTTGCCTCCCATGTGTACCCTGTCTGGGGCCAGAGATGGAACTTGCAGCCCAGGTACCTGCCCTTGACTGAGAATCAAGCCCTCCACCCTTTGGTCCAAGGGCCGACTCTCTAACCACTGAGCCAAACCAGCCAGGACTGTTTGATTTGTTTTTAAAAACATCTTCAGAGATTTTTCTAGCCTGCTTGCTGAATGCTCTCCTTGGGTAGTGACTTGATTTTTCTCTGAAATTTTGTGTTATTTGCAGGCAGACAGCCAAGTGGACCTGGTCCGGCAGCATTTCTATGAAGTATCCCTGGAGTATGTCTTCAAGGTGCAGGAAGTCCAAGAGAGAAAGATGTTTGAGTTTGTGGAGCCTGTAAGTAGATGCTCTGTGTTAATGGTATTTCCACACTTTAGTCCCGACCCCTTACTCCAGCTACTTAGATGACAGAATGATCTAAGCTATTGATGAAGAAGTTGACCCACCTGGTGCTGTGCCTTCTGGTAAAGGACAGTGCTTTCTCAATCTGGCCACCCTGGGGTTTCCCCGTGGTCGTCCCTGTACAAACCCAGACAGGGAGGCAGTGATTTCGGCAGTCATGGCTTCCTCTAGCACCCTGCGTGGTCCTATCTGGTTCGCAGGTGGAATTAGTGAAAATGAGGGAGGGGGGAGTTTTCATCTTGTCAATCTATAGTGATTGCACCTTAACTTTCCTCCTCCCTCCCCACTCTCCCCTTCAGGTAATCCAAATGTAGTAGTAAACCAGGAAATAGGAGAATGTACATATCTTTCTCTTTTTGCCTCCTGAGTTCAAAGCCCCTCTTCATCCCATTCATGCATTAAAAGATGCATTGTAAAGCGATTTTTCACTTTAGGTTTGTTATAACCAAGCAGCATGGAGAGTCTGCTGGGTGGACCATGATGGGATTGGGATTTTGGCAGTGTCCCAGAAAAGGTTATAGTGTGGGAGCAAGTCTGGCTTTGGTTTGGGCCACTTCCTGCTTTTGGTTTCATGTGGTCATGGTGCTGCCCCACCCAGCTGCCGCACTGTTCAGAAGACTTCGTGGAAACACCAAAAGATCACAAGGGTCTCAATTTCAAACTCTTGCAGACCTTTCATTTTTCAGTCAAAATGAAGCTTCTGATTTAGACCCAAGCTTGAGATCTCTGTACAAATAAGATTCTTCTCTACCTAGAGTTAAGAAAGAGTGATTCTCTTAAACAAATAAGAATTAAACTATAAGAAACTGAAAGAAAACAACTACTCTTTTTAATAAAGAATGTTTTGTGCTGCACATCTAATTTATAAACTTTTGGGGTGCTTTTTAGGCATGTAGACTTGCTAATAGTTTTATCAAGATTCCGGTTGGCTCTGGAATTTAATGCGTACTGATGCCACCTGCCATATAAAGATGAAATTAATCTTTTACTATGCTGGGACTGTGATCTTGGAATTCCACTTGCAGCCACCTTCACTGGTAAATTTGTTAAAGTCCTTAGTTACTTCAGTCTTCCTATCTGAATATTGGAAACTTCCTATCTAGCTCTGATCTCTGACACAGCAGGGATTGCAGGTGGAAGAAGCCATCAGATAGCAGACACAAGGTGGGAGAGGCCATCTGTTGGAGACAGCAAGCTTGTCTTGTCGGTTTCCCTCCTTAGGGCATAGAGGTGTTGAAGCCTTTCAGTCAGCGAGGACAGGAATTAAAATGCTGTCACAGAATTAGCCTTTGGCATTTTTACTTGCTTTCACTAGTATCTTTAGTGGAAAAAAAAACCAAACCACAGTGGGATTCTAATTATTCTTCTGTTATATATAACATGCTGATTGATATTACTCTGTAGTTGCGTAATTTGGGCGAATTGCATTTTAATTGGCCCATCCTACATTTTTGAGCTGAACTTTTTTGTCCACTTTGATCTCTCAGTAGGTATTCCTAGTGAATCAGATATTGTATCATTTTTTTTTTAGCTTTCGCTGGGTGACAAATAATTATGAAAACCTCATACAATAGGCATTTATTTTTTTATACCTCTGTGGGGTTCAGCCAATCTAGGATGGGCTCAGCTGGATGAATCTGCTGATTTAGGTGGGTTTTCCTCCTCCTTCTCCTTTTCTTGTTTGTGTGGAATGCCCCCCACCCCCGAAATCTACAAGGGTTTATCCTTCTGTGTCCTAGAATTCTATTATAGTATGCCTGTGTCTTCAGCTTTCTGAGAGGCAGTATAGCATCTGTTAAGGGCTCTCTGGAGTCCTTAGAAAACCGTGGTGGTTTGCAGGTGTTTCTCAAGTCACAATGTGAGCCACAGGGAAACCTAATGAAAAAAAGTTTTGATCTCATGTTAGGAAGAAGAGACTTGCCCAAAGTTAAACGGGTCCATTGAGAGGCTGGATGTGGGATTCAAATGTTTAACCTCCACTTTCTACAGAGTTCTTGTTTGTGCACACACCAGCTTCCAGGCAGGTCAGTGGCTTCAGGAACCGTGGAGAAGAGGGAGAAGAGATTTATAGAACAAAAATGCCACTGGCTACATCAATGGTTCTCAAAGTCTTAGAAATATAAATTCTTGGGCTCTTCCCCAGGCCCAAAATTTAGGGGTGGGGCCCAGCAATCTGCGTTTTAGCAAGTCCTTCAGGTGATTCTGCTGTATATTAAAGTCTGAGCTACAGGCCTACATTATACAAAAGAACGTGAGGTAACAATCGATTCTCGGTTAAAACTGTCATGTGCTGTGCTGGGATCAAGTGCTTCCCCTACATTAGGTCATCCAACCCTTATAATATCTGGGAGGGTAGGTACTGTTTTTACATATATTTTCAGATGAAGAAATGGAAGCACATTTATTTATTTTTCCAAGGTCACATAGTTTGAGTTGGTTGCAGTCAAAGGAACCTTCTAGCCATTCAATGAGCCCCCATGCCTGTTGACTATGTTCATTTGTTTCTTAGAAAGTAACTTCACGTACCAGGATGTTATTGACCTTCAGAAAAAGAAACACAATTTTAGTGTTCCAAGGAAGAAAAGTTAGACTTCTGGGGTCTAAACCATACATACATATTTGTATGTGTGAGTGTGCAGGCGCATGCGTGTGTGTGTCCTGGAAGCCTTCATTTTCTTGTTGAGGTACAAAATGTTCTGGAGATTTGGATGGCAGATAATGACACACTGACTTCATGAAGGTGAAGACCCATTCAGTCTGTTCCTCAGGTTTTCATAATTGAAGGTCAGCTAATGCTGCAGAGAACTCCTCACATTTGTTGGATGCTGCATCCTCTGAGCTTCACCTCCTGACTGTTTCTTGGTGCCGTGCCTCCCTGTCCTTTCTCATTACTGCCCATTGCAGATCTTCATTCTTCCCCTTTGGTCTGTTGCATCCTGTCCTGGGCCTCCCCCTTCTCCAGCCTCACCTGGACCCTGTGACCACAGTACAGCTTCTAACATGTCAGTCTGATTATCTCTCTCTTGCCCCCCACCGGCACTCCTGTGTTAAGCCCATTTCATAGATGGTCTCGGTCTTTCCACGGCACAGTGCAGTAGTAGGTAGCGTTGCTATTCTCCCGTAAAAGATGGCTGAAGGCAGTCACGTGGCTTACCCAGCCCAGCCTGCCATCACTCTACTGTCTGTCCTTTTGGTTGTATGAATGAATGCTTCTTGGAAGCTACAGTTTGCTGGGGCTGCTGTAGCCAGGTACCACAACCAGGTGTCTTAACACAACAGAAATTTATTGCCTTATAGTTCCAGAGGCAAGAAGTCTAAGATCAAGGTGTCAGTAGGGCAAGCTCCCTCTGAAACCTGTAGGGAAATTATCCTTCAAATCTCTTCCCAGCTTTTGGCAGTTTGCTGGCAGTGTTAGGCATTCCTCGCATTGTAGATGCATCTGTCCTATCCCTTGTCTTCACATGGCTGTCTTCCCTCTGTGTGTTTCTCTGTGTCCACATTTCCCCTTTTTGTAGGGATACCAGTCATTTTAGATTAAGGCCTGATGGCTTCATTTAATTTGATTACCTCTGTAAAGAGCTTATTTCTAAATAGAATCACATTTTGAGGTATTGGGGGTTAGGACTTAAATATATCTTTTGGTCAGGGGGTAGGGAGTGGGGGAGAGTAAGGGGCGGGGACACAATTTAACCCATACAGTCTTATAAATGTAAACAACGGAAATGTATTAGGTAGTTCAGAATGGTGCAGCCAGCACTAAATGAAGGAGTTACATTTTTGCTTAAAGAAAAAAAATCAGATCTGTGTTGTCAGTTTGAAAATAGGAATAGATATTTTTTACAATTATTCCCTGAGGAAAACAGCCGTGGAGATGAAAGCAAAGGGCAGTGGGGAAGGTCTTTATTGGTATTTCCTTGGTTGTGCTGTGACTGTTCATGAAGGAGCCTGGGTGGACATGCTGTCTTCTCTTATCTGACAGCCAGGTGAGGCTACAGCAAACTCTTTTTCTGTGTGCGTTTGTAGAAACATTTCCTTGAGGCAGACGGATCTTTCCATCTCTGGAGCCCTTCTCTGGGCCTGGCCTACCCCCCGCCCCTCCGAATGGATTTTCATTTCCTCCTGGTAATAGGTTCAAAGGTTCACACAGTTTGTGGGAAGGGGTATGTCAGCATGTTGGAGTGGAGAGAAAATATGCCACAAGAGGAGAAAGAAGGGAAAGTGGGCCAAAGATAGCAAAGTCTAAGGAATCATTTTCCATAGAAAAATGGATAATCAGACATGATACCAAAGGAAGTGAAAACCAAAATAAATTTTAGTAACTGTGCCTTTGGAGCACTGTGTGTGTGCCTAGGTGGCACCTTAGTGAGCTGTTTGAGATGTTTAATTGCCCCAAGCAAGAGAGGCTTTGTTGCCTTTAAGGGAAAGATAAATCAGAGTTAATAGGTGGAATGACCTTAGAATTAGCTGCTTATCTTTTGCTTTATTCTCCAGTAGAGGATAGCTCAGTGCCTTGGAAATTGTGGAACATAGCTTTCAAGGACTGCAGGGAGGGAAGAGCTATAACAGTTTTCATTGTGAATATTGACCTGAGGTTCAGCATATGAGTCCCTTCCTGTATATTACTGGAGCCATCTAGATGGAAAAGTGTGGGCCTTCTTAAAAAATTATTCTCAATAGGGTAAGTCCAAAGGCTTTGAAGCAGAGTTTGTCATTCATTAGTTTTTGGTGACTCTATGTGTCTTACCGCCCATTCACTGATTTAGGTTAGGGATCTATCTGTGGTGCCACTAGACATTTTTTAATAGCCAGAGGACCCAACAATGCCTGCTGCCCCACCTCCCATGAGGATCTAAGAGGATAGATGATCAGGGACAGTGGCAGTGGGAAGTCAAAGTGTCACATTGTTGTAAGCTAGATTTTGCCTGACTTTCCAGAGTAGAGCTCTTTGATAAACTGGACTGGGCCCATGGCTTAGCGCAAAGACGGTTCTTTCCTCTGATCTCAGATAGTATAGCACATACCTTGGTACTTCACATTTCTGTCACAAGCAAGGTGGGAGAGTATGGGGGGGTGGAATGAGTTTCCTTACCCACATTTTTAGGGCTGCCTCTCAGAAAAGGAGACTTAACTGAAACAGGTGAGACCATTTAGGGAATAAAAAACTAAACACAACATAAAGTAAAGCAACTGTGTCTCATGTAACAACATGTGGTAGAGGCAGGTCAGGGAGGTCAGAGTGGACCACTCAGTAACATGTGCGTCGGCATTGACATTCGCATTAGAACGGGAACGGTCCCTAAATGCAGTAGAACTGAGCCTATGATAGAAGTGAAGTTCTGTTTCTTCTAAATCTTGTTCAAGCTTTGATTATAACCCTTTTTCAGGTTGAGATTTGGAACTGAGGAAGATGTGTAGGACTTGGGGAGGGGTCAGGGCAGCCTAACAACAGTGAGACTTACATATAGGCTCTGAGAGGAAAAACTGCAGAAACATTTATTTTGCTTGGAGAAGGGAAAGCTGGCAGGGGTTCAGGGCAGGGACATCCATAGTTTTTAAGTATATGAAGGTGTGTTGTAAGAATTTTGGTGAACAGATGTTTTCATTCTTCACTAAAGACAAGACTAAACAATGAATAGGTTTACCTTTAGCCCGAGGCAATTTAAATAATTTAGGAAACCAGAATACCTGAAAATGTCGGAACATGGGAGTATTTTGATAAAGGAGTATTTACTTTTGAGCAGTTTTAGGGAAAGCTGAGAAACACTTGAGCTGAAGTCTGACCTAGGTGATTTTTTTGGTTTGACTTTGCCTGTTAGACTTCAGGCTCAGAACATACCAGCTTCCTTTTCTCCCTTTCTTGTTGGTTATCAGTATAACCACACTCTTCTGCAGAATAATCTGATATAAATATCTTTGAAGAAGACTAATTTGGAACTCTGATCTTCAATTTCTGACAAAATGATTTTCTTAGGAGGTGATGAGGTTCACAGGGTAAGAGCTTGGGTGTTGGTGTCCAGGAGATCTGGTTTCAAATCCTGGCTGCCACTTACTTTGTGTTTTGGGGCAGGTATCTTGACCTCTCTGAATCTATACTTCCTCATTATTAAAATGAAGATAACAGTAGTACTTACCTACTAGGTTGTTGTGAGTACTCAGTGCATGTAAAGCTATAGTACCTGGCATATAAATAGTGCTCAGTAACTGATAGCCATTACCACAACATTATTCCAGTTTTCATCCAGAGTTGGGAACTCAGGTACAACTATGTAATACCTCTTTGGCGTACTTACGTGAACTCCACCTTTCTGCCCCATTGCAGCTACTGGCATTCTTGCAAGGACTCTTCACATTCTATCATCACGGTTATGAACTGGCCAAGGATTTCAGCGACTTCAAGATGCAGCTGACCATAAGCATACAGAATGTGAGTGGGCAAAGGGACAGACTTCCTCCCCCTGGTTAAGGAAAGGAAAAAACAAATTATGGGTCTGGTTGCACAGCGAGTACTTATCTGGGTTGGAATGCAGGTAAGGAGGATGGGTCTTGCTTGGTTCAGAGGGCAGCTGGGGGCAGCATTTCTAGGGTCTTCGTGGCCCCGGATTAAAACATCAACCTCCTCTCCATTATTTCAAAGCACTATTTATTTTTTCGGAAGTGCTGTTGCTAATTATGTTTTAAATCCATAGCCACCAGAGTCAGGATTTCCTTTGGCAGTGGAGGTCCCAGCCCAGCCTAGTCCTGCCCTGCCCTGCCCTGCCCTGCCCCCATTCTGTGCATCTAGCTGCCTGGCCACATAAGACCTTGGAGAGAGAGAGTGTTCAGGGAGTGGGGGTGGGGCACACCACTGGCCTCCAGCTCAAAGGATGTCCTCTTGTTCAACTCTTAGGAAGACTGAGAGGAAATCCAAGTCAGTGTGGTTTACTCCCAATCTCCTTTCCCCCCAAAATTTTAAAGTATTTTTAGATAGAGAGGAAGGGAGAGGAAGAGAGAGAGAAACATCCATGAGAGAGAAACATTGATTGGCTGCCTCCTACGTGCCCCCTACTGGGGTTGAACCTGGAACCCGGGCGTGTACCCTTACCAGGAATTGAACATGTGACCTCTTGGTACATGGGATGATACTCAAGTAACTGAGCCACATTGGCCGGACTCCTTTCCCAGATTTTATTTTATTTTTTATTTATTTAAAAAAAATTTTTTTCTTTATTGATTTTAGAGAGAGGGGAAGGGAGAGAGAGAGAGAGAGACAGAAACATCGATGAGAGAGATCATCGACTGAACACCTCCTGCATGCCCCCCATTGGGTATTTAGCCCACAACGTGGGCATGTGCCCTGACCAGGAATCGAACTGGCGACTTCTTGGTGCATGGGTCAGTGCTCAACCACTGAGCCACACTGGCCGGGCTCCTTTCCCAGATTTTAAACAGCAGGACCTCTTGGTGCTCAGAATCCTGCCTAGGGCTCTTTAGTTAGCAGTTACTGGGGCTCGAACTCCTTTCTTCATTATGTCTGGGCCATGTTAGTCTGCATGTTGTCTTTGTCTCTAGAAGATCCTATGGAGAAAAGAAACCAAATTCATCCATCGAATTGTATTGCATGGCTTTTAGAAGCCTGCAGCTCACTCTGACATGGTTCCCTGTCTTCTGAGAGAACAGGAAGTTGCAGAGTCTGGGAAAAGTTTTCACAAAGCATGGCTTTCTCTTGGCCGGCTTCCTCAGAGGTCCAACTAAAGTGAAGATTTACATGTGGTAGGTTCACCGAGAGCAGGGTTGGCAGAAATACTTGTGAGAGTGAGGCCCCTGCACAACTAAAGTGAAGATTTACATGTGGTAGGTTCACCGAGAGCAGGGTTGGCAGAAATACTTGTGAGAGTGAGGCCCCTGCAGGAGAAGTTGATTTTGATGCAGTTGTGGCAGAGGCCTCAGTCAATGCCTGAGTGCTCTGGAGTTGGGATGGCCATCAGAGTGGCCAGAGTAGAAGCTAGGGGACCAGGTGTTTGACCTCTTCCCCTTTTGTCCCTAGACTAGTCATTGGGTAGGTACAGGCTGCCCTGGGGAAGGGAATAACCCTCAGTGAAGCAGCTCCCTTTGAAGGAGGGAACCATTTGAGACATCAGCCGGCAACATTGCCTGCAGCTAGAGCAGTGAGCCTCTTAGCCTTGAGGGGATCTGGGATATGCCCTCCTGTGGACCAGAATCACCTTGGATGCTCCTTTCAAATACACCTTTCTGAGTCCAGAGGAACTCATTTCATTTTTAGGGGTGAGGCCTGAGCATTTTCACTTTTTCCAAGTTCCTTAGGTGATTTTGATGGTCCCTAGAGTTTGAGAGATAATCTGATATAGGACTTCAAGGCCAAAGTATACTTCTTGATATTTGCCTGTCTTAGATGGCTGACTTAGAATTAAGTTATCTGGTTTTCGATCTAAGGAGTCTATTCATTGATATTCGAATTGATAGAGGTGGGAATAGGGTCTTATTTCTTTGATTTGAATATAATTCCTTTCGTCCTAGACAAGAAATCGCTTTGAAGGCACCAGGTCAGAAGTGGAATCACTGATGAAAAAGATGAAAGAGAATCCCCTTGAGCACAAGACCATAAGCCCCTACACCATGGAAGGGTACCTCTACGTTCAGGAGAAACGTGAGTGCTTGTGAGGACCAACAGCTGGAGGTGAACTCCTGCCTTTTGCCCAGAAGGTGAAGGGTGTGTCCAGTGGTACCTGGCCAAGAGTCGCGTTTCGTAAATACAGGTTTGGGTGAATGAGAGTAATTGTATAGTTCAGTTTCCTCAGAGAAAGGTGGTGTCCACAAGTCTTGTCTACCTCCAAGGGGTGTGCTATTTTCTCTGTAACTGGGAATTCCCTTGGGAATCTGGAACACATTGAGGCTCTAGGGTTGTTTTTTAATCCCTCATGTCACTCAACTCTTGAAGTTCCTGTCCCCTTAGTTCAGTTTTAAATACCATACCCTTGACATAGAAGCCTTGGAAAGATCTTGCCTGGTAGGCCTAATTGTCAGCAGTCATATCCTTTAGTGGACTTAATATTTAGTGATTTTGTTTTTGTCTGAGACTTGTTTAGCAAGGCCCGAGCAATTATGGTTCTTTCCCTCTTCTCCTCAACTCCTGTTATCCCAAAACTTAGATTTTATGAAAAGTAGAAATGAAAGCTCATTCCCAGAGCCAGAAAGAAGATTGCTTTGCTGTTGTGATGTGAAGGAAAGAAATGCGAGGCACTGGTGCCACGGAGTTTTCAGTGACAGCTCTCAAACTCGTGGACTAGGCCTGGGGAGAGGCTTTATATTGATGAGGCTATGTTATTAGGGCATCATTTCCAGGCTTAATTCATATGCAGTGCAAAGGGAGAAAAGAAAGAACATTTTTTTCTTTAACGGATGCTGTTCTCCTTGTCTCCTGCTCCTTCCTACTTTCTTGGCTGGACACATTACTTCTCCCAGAGTTTTGCCTGGTTTTGTGCTTTTATGTCTTTTGTTGATTTTGGATTAGACAAATGTCTTCACTCCTGGAAGCATCCGGATGGAGCAGAAGTAGAATACTTGATTTCAGTGATTATTCTATTTACTGATTACTCAACATTTTTGTGGGCTTAAATATGTTCCCTGGTGATAATGGGGACAATAGTGGGTTTTGAGTTTGGAGCATTGGTTGTGATGAGAGTTTTGTGTCCCTGTTCTTACAGGGATGAGCTTGTTGATATTTATAGGAAATAAGCTACTTTTCGTTCTGTGTTTCATATATACCTGATAAAAGGTGATGCCTTCTTTGCCCAGTGAGAAGATCCACCCTCAAATGTTTAAGGTATACTTGAAAATATAAATTCTTAGGACTGTAAAAATATAGTTCAATGTCTACTTATAATAATTTATTAATATTGTTTACTTACATATATAAAATCAGTATTGCATTTTTGTACCCTCACATTACATCGTACAGTTTTATTCAGGCCCTTCAGGTGCTCTTTCAACATGAATGTCTTAATTATTGTTGGAACCAAGTTTTGACCCTCTAACACAGTAGCCCAGAGCACATCATTGGGATACACATTTTTTTCTTTGAAAGTTTTTGTAACATTATTTTGAAGTATTTTAAAACTTAAAGAAGGTTTCAAGAATACTATAAAGAACAACCATGTGAACTTTACCCTCATGCATGAAGTTTTACCAGTTTTCCACAATTATTTCATTCTTCCTTTGTGTGTTTGTGAACACCACAGTCACAGATACACAATTTTAATTTTTTCAGAACCATTTGAGAATAGGTTACAAAGACCATGCTCTTTTACTTCAGTATGTGTTTTCTAAAAATAAGGATATTAGTTTATGTCACCATAGTTACCATATGCAGGAAATTCAACATTGATAAGATATTTGATATAAATGACACTGTCTATTCCAGTTTTGTCATTTGTCCCAATAGTAACTACCCTGACAGCATTTTGTTTTTCCCCAGGGCAGGATCTCGAACTGCATGCAGTTGTTGTGACTTAGTCTCTTTTACCTGGAACACTTCCTCAGCTTTTAGCCATCTTTTATGACATTGACATTTTTTAAGAATATAGGCCAGTTCTTTTATGTGGTTCTTTAGTGTGGGTTCATTTAATGTTTCCTCAAAATTAGACCTGGTCATGTCCTACACAAGTAACTGTGTCCTCCTCTGTGTGCCACATCTGGAGGCACCGGGTGGCTGTCTGCCCCTCAGCGCTGATGTTTGTTTTGCTCACCCAGTCAAAGTACTATCTGGTTTTTTCCCTGTTCAGTTCCCATTTTTTCCCTTGTAAAAAATCAGCAGTCTTTGAGGAGATACCTTAAGACCGCATAAATATCCTTTGCCCCTCTCTTTCACCCCCCATAGACTCAGCATTCATTGAAAATCCTGTCTGAACTGATCTTTACTATGATGGTTGTAAAATGGTGACATCTCAGCTTTGCCACTACTCCATATTTATTAATTGCCATTTAATGTACTAATAAATAATGACCTCCCTTTACCTCTCCCTCCCTCCCTCTTTCTCTCCTTTACTATATCCATCCATCTACCCATTCATCCATCTATCTTTCTATTGTCAGCATGGATTTATGGAGTCCCATTTATTCATAGGGTAAATTCATTACTGCCCCTACTTGTTTTGATGCTCAAATTATCCAAGATACAAGCACTTATGGAACTTTGTGTTGTGCTATCACTGGATTTTTTTTTTTTCTTTTTCTATTCTTGAAGTTACAAAAGTTATGTTAGAATTGTTGGTATTTTAATTTGTCTTTGATGTTCTAATGTAGACACTTACTGTATCGCTTATTTCCCCTTCACCCGAGGACTTTTTTTTTGCATTTATCTTCAGATAGAGCGGGAGGGAGAAAGGAGGGAAGAAAGAGAGAAACATCAGTGTGACAGAGACACATTGAGTGGCTGCCACCCACATGACCTCAACCAGGGTTGGGAACAAACTGCAGCCGAGGTATGTGCCCTTAGCAGGAGCTGAACCTGGGACTGTCTGGTCTGTAGGCCGTCGCTCTAACTGCTGAGCCAAACCGGCCAGGGCTGTATTGCTTTTTAAGTTTACTAAGTAATATCCAAAACTTGCAATGGTCAGTCACACGCTGAAAAATAATGATTAAATGTCTGCAAATCTCTCTTCATGTTATAATTATTTTTTTACCATTTCTATTATGTGATCCTGTAAGCATCTAAGACTATTATTGATGGAGGTCCTTGTGGACTAATGAAGTAATTGTCCAAGCACTGGGTAAAATCAGAGACTTAATCAGACTTTGACTACAGGTCATCTCCCTCTTTCCTGAGGGATAATCTTGAGGGACAGAGTCCCTCAAGGGACTTTTGGGTATTTACAGTTACTTCCATTCTATAACTCTGGTGTCTGTGTTTTCTCTGTCTGCTTCTCAGATCTTCTTTAGATCTGTTATAGTGAAGATTAGGGGCTTGGAGGTAGGTCAGAGTCTCTGTATGTCTGTGCACACAATCACAGAGCAGCTGTGTGGGAAGCATGAAGTCATCGCATCAGATGGGAATGGTGACAAGCACTTTGAGGAGCCTTTTTGGGTCTGTTCCTCAACCATCTTACTCCTGTCAGGGGAGAAACAGGAAACTTCAAATGGAGATTGATGGGAAAGTGAATGAATTTCCCCAGGGAACTTCTATTTCCCTTACATTTAAGACCCATTGGATGTAGCAATTAGTAGGAAACAGTTTTCCTTGGTCTCTGGGGAAAGCCTTGGGTAGGTTCCATTTCCAGCCTGTGGGATCAGATTTCTGCCTGTTCTAGTCTAGCTGGTGTGGAGAATATATTACCCCTAAAAACAAGCTAAGGGTAGGTGAGCACTGTGGATTATGGGTTATGTGTCTTCCTGGCATGTAGTGGACATACATAGATGTTTTATGAGAAATGTTACTTTGCAGGTCACTTTGGAACTTCTTGGGTGAAGCACTACTGTACATATCAGCGGGATTCCAAACAAATCACCATGGTACCATTTGACCAAAAGTCAGGAGGAAAGGGGGTGAGTTAATTTTTAAAAATTTCATGCTTGATTTGCTTGGCTAACAAATAATTATAATGTATGTATAAAGTAACATCTCTAGTGTTTCACTCTAATTTAAGAAATTTTTTTTTGTACGTGCCCCTAGCAGGAACCGAACCCGGGACTCTAGTCTGCAGGCCAATGCTCCAACCGTTGAGCCAAACTGGCCAGGGCTAATTTTTTAAATTTTTATACACTAGTTCCAGGAGGCATAGTACCCTAAAAAGTAATGAAAACAAAATGATTATTCTTAGCTCTAAGTTATATTAGAGATTACAACTAAGAAAGATTTTTATATTTCACATAAATGCAGTATTAAGTGTGTCAAATGCGTTTAGATGCTAGAAATTCTTGGATGACCTCACCCTGTGAAACTGCTTCACATCAATCTCACTTGATACCTTTAGGCTGTCAGTTGGCACTTTATTTTTTAATTCTCATTCGAGGATATTTTTCTATTTATCTTCAGATAGAGAGGGGGAGAGAGAGAAACATTGACTGGTTGCCTCCTGCACAACCCTGACCAGTGCCGGGGATAAACTGCAACCGAGGTATGTGTCCTTGACTGGAATCAAACCCTTGACTCCTTGGTCCGCGAGCTGACACTCTACTGCTGAGCCAAACTGGCCAGGGCTGTCACTTGGCACTTTAGATGTTCCAGTTACCTATTGCTATGTAACAGATCATCCAAAACTTAGAAACTTTTAATATAATACCAATCATCTTAGTATTTCTCACAGTTTCTGTGGGTCAGGAATTTGGTGAGCATTTATTTGGTTGGGTGGTTTGGGCTCGGGGTTTTTCATGCAGCTCTAATCAGATGGTGACTATACTAGAACAATGGGGGTCTGAAGCAGTTTAAGGCTGGTAAGAATAGCCTCCTTCCTTTCTCCTGATCTCCTTCTCTCTGCTTCTCTTCCCTCTTTATATTCTCAGGGCCTGTCTATCTGGTCTCTCTATGTGGGCTAGTTTGGGCTTCCTCACAGCATGGTGGCTGCTGGGCACCTAAACGTTTCAAGAGGGAATATTTCAGCAACAGATGCAGAGACTGCAGTGCTTTTTAATGACCTACCCTTAGAAGTCTTACCACCTTACTTTTGTCCTGTTTGTTGAAACTGTTACAAAAGCCCACCCAAGCTCATCCCATTTCAGTGGGAGAGTATGCACACCCTGCCTTTCAACGGGAGGGGTAGTATCAGAATCACACTGTTTGAAGAGTGTGTGGGATGGAAGATGTTCTTGTGGCCATGTTTGGAAGACTCGGTCAGGCTGCATCAGGCTCCGTGGGTCACTGCTGTTGGGAGCTCCTTGCTGTGCTCCAAGGCTTCTCCTTTCCTCAGGGCATACTCATTGCACGCTTTTCCTTTTTAGGTGATGTCTTTTCTCTCTAGCTGCTCTTAACCTCTTTCCTATTCTTCTTCCTCCTCCTTCCTTCTTCTTTATGGTATTCTGCATTTCATTATGATGGTCCTATGTACATCCTTTATTTTATTTTTTTCAATCTGTTGTTCTGGGGAGTTTTTGACCTTTCTAGGTTTGAGGGTTGATTTCTAGTAACTTTGGATAATTCCCACTGATTATCACTTTGAATTTTGCCGCCGCCTCATTATTTCTATGATCTTCTTCTGGAGATATTTAAATATTTTCAGTAAAAATATTTATATTTTTCATCTCTTTGAATCTCTGGACTTTGTTCTGATGTCTCTGGTTCTATCTTTAGTTTAAGTAATTTTTCAGCTGTGTCTGACTTGTTGATAAATTAGTCCTCTTCAGTATTCCAACCCTGATCCTCTCTGTGGTACATTTTTGTGCAACACGTTGAGATTTCACATGTGTGGGCATTCCATTGTAGAGGCTAAGAACACTGGCTTTTAAATTAGACTGCCTGGGTCAACAATGTTAGATGCTGTTATCATTACTGTTAGCTATTCCATCATGCTGCCCCCTTGCCCTCTACCACTTCCAATTTTCCTTCCTGTCCCCCCTCCCTATTAATTCACAACACAGTAGTTTATCAGCATCTCTAGTCCTTCCCTGTATCAAAGCAAAAAAAAAGCCAAAGCTCTTTTAATGTTTCTTGTTAGGGATGTGTTTGCCATGTAAATAATCTCAAGAAAACAGATGTCACAGTATCAAAACATAGAGAAGTTATAGAGTTAGAAGGAATACTTAAAAATCTATGTTATCAAGGTATCCCCTGGTATTCATGAATGGAAATAGAGTCAGGCCTGCCTTCCTTGGGTCGAGTCATAGTCCTTTTCCTATTCTTAGTCCTTCTGGAAATTAGCTTCACCGCATCATTCTCTCACATCTGTATTGTGGAGCTTTTTTTTTTTTTTTTTTTTTTATCCTCACCCGAGGACATTTTTCCATTTTTTGTTCAGGTAGAGTGGGAGGGAGAGAGAGAGAGACAGAGACAGAGACAGAGAGAGAGAGAGAGAGAGAGAGAAACATCAACGTGAAAGGGACACATTGAGTGGCTGCCACCCGCACAACCAACCAGGGCCGGGGACAAACTGCAACCGAGGCACATGCCCTTAGCGGGAACCGAACCCGGGTCTCTCAGGACTGCAGGCCGACGCTCTAACCGCTGAGCCAAACCGGCCAGGGCTATTGTGGAGCTTTTTATCTTGTGCTTCTTAAACCTTTAATGAAGAGCTCTTGTATTTTTTCTACTTCTTATTACACTTGAAAGTGAAGGGCAGAGACCAATTATGGTGGATGTTTGGGACTCCTCAGACTTCAGTGAGATAATAGTAAACACCTCATTCAGTTGTTAGGTTTATGTGAATCAGTGTATGTGAACTTCTTGGGAGAGCTGGATATGTAATGAGCACTATCTTAGGGGCTTGATATTATAATAATTTTCCTAACAATAATTCTTTGTGTTTATATGACATCTTATATCTTTCTTAGTAAGTTCTTTTATTGTCCTGTATTATCCCTGTTTGATCCAGTTTTCCTCCTTTACAAAAGACAAAATTGAAGTTCAGAGAGAGAAAATGGTTTCTAAGGCCATACACCTAATGAGTGATAGAGCCAGTACTCACACCCTGATTCTGGGGTCTTTGTCGCCTGTTCTGAGGCCTATAACAATAATAATAATATATAATTACTTATTATTTGACAATATATTATTACATATAATATATAAGTTATTACATATTTTTATATTAATAATAATGTATAACATATGTACAAGTAAATAGCTTTCCAGGGCATGGCTCTGTTTTCTTAGCTTTAGGGTGAAAGATACATGAAGACTGGCTGTCTAGAGGTGCCGTCTTCTTAATTTATATAGGAGGATCATGTGATGTCTTTGTGTATATGTCTATACAAAGCTTTCCTAAGAGCTAGAGATAGACTTAACATAGATTATAGGGTGTTTTCTCTTCTTAACATGCTTTTGCCCCACCCTTCACTGTCCCTTTCATTTGGATCATGTTCTTTTAGAAGTACCTGCTATTCTGTTAGCTTCAGGCCAGGAGATGTGCTCCATCCTCTTGGAGACCAGCCCTTTTGTGTAGTGAAAGTGACTTTCATGCATCCTATCGTCTGAGATGAGGCACCTCTCTGTTTGCTATTCTGCAGCAGCCCAAAGCTGACCCTGTTTTTTTCCTTTCTTGAAATCTTCCATTATTTTCCCACTGCTCTCGGGATATAGACCACAGTCTGCATGATCTTGCTCCTGCATCCCTCAAACCCTTTCTCATTCCACTTTTCCTCTTGCTCTGGAATTCTAGCTACACTAGCTTCCCTTGAGTTCCTTCAGGGATCCAAGGACTGACCACAGGGCTTTTCCACCTGCTCTTTTCCATCCCTCATGCTGTTCTCCTGGTCTTATCTCATGAATCCTTCAAGTCCCCAGCCCAAGAAAGCCTTTGCTGACCTTCCTGACCAGGTCAAATCCCCTTTATTTAGGCTTTTGTCACACACCTGCCTTTTGTTCTATAGTGGTTGTTACAGTAGTAACTTTTCATTTATTTATTTAAGTGATTATTATCTGTATCCCCCAATTTTTAAAATCATCAGTAGTTGAACAGATCATCTTTATAGGTTTTTTTCTTGATATGATATGGTCATCCTTAAAACAGAATCTTCTTTATTCTTATATTTGACAGTATTTTATAGCCCCCCCCCCCCCCGTTCCCTCCCATTTACCAGGGACACCTCCCCATAAGCTTTCAAAGTAGAAGCTGGTCCATGGCCATTCAATCTGAAATAATAGTTATACATCAACATGGTCAGAATCTCCTGGGTTTGTGCATTTATACTCACACACTTACACATTGTAGAAGGAGCACTTCTCAGCCTGAGAACTTAATCTAAGCTATTCAGTAAAAAAAACAATAGATTTAAGGCTGTGAATATAAACTGTCTCTTCCTAGGTCTTCTGTGTTTTATGTGCTATTTTGATACTAGTGCATGGTTAGTTTTACTGTACATGGTCACATTGCCTATTAGTTCAACGAACTAGGCAAGTTTGCTCACTTTCCCCCAGTTTAAAAAAAGAAAAGATTGGAAGAGGCAGAAGAAAGAGTAACCTTAACAAATTCCTATATGACAGAAAGGGAAGAAATTAGTGCTATATGATAAAACTTGCATTTCATTTGTACAGTGGGGTATTACTCAGCAATTAGAAAAAATAAACTCCTGATGCATATAACAACATAAATGAATCGCAGAAGGATAGTCAGACATAAAAGGGCATTCCATTTCTATATGGTTATAGAATATGCAAACTTATCTATAGTGGCAGAGAGCAGATTTAGTGCTTGCTGGGTGGAGGGATGGATTCCAAAGGGACAACGGGAAACTTTTGGGGGTGATAGAAATGTTAATTGTGGTTAGGATTTCATGGATGTATACAAATGTCAAAACTCATAAATTGTGCACTTTAAACATGTGCAACTTATTACGTATTAGTTATACCTCAATATAGCTGTTAAAACATTTGTTGAATACCTACTCTGTTCCCCGGCCTGTTTAGGTTATGGGGACACAAGAGTAAGCAAAAACAGACACAACCCCTTTCCTCAGAGAGCTTTGAGTCCCATGAAGAGAGACAGGTTATTTGAATCATTGCTCATATCCACGGAAAATTTTAGCTGTGATTAGTGCTCTGAGGAAGGGAGAGGTACATGTTCACAGAGGTACTGTGTGAACACGTGTGAGGGTACTTGACCTGGCCCAGGAAGATATTCCTTAGCAGTAACAACTGAACCAGGATCTGAGAAGCTGAGTTGGGAGGAAACCCAAGGTCATCTTGTTTTGACTTGTATCAAACTTACAAATTAAGCCTATTTAAAACTATATCAACAGGAGTTTAGTGTAATATGGGTTGATGCTGGACCATTGTCATCTGCCAGTAACAAAGACATTTGGCTCCAAGTAGAACATGGTTGACAAATTTTTAGCTGCCTGAAGGTTTATGATCAGCCTTTTACCTCCTGTGGTCAAGAACACTCAATCTTGAGAAGAGGAAATGAGCACTCCTGTTCATGTGGCATGTTTGTCCTGGAGAGAAGAGGGCCCATATTCTGGCCTCATCTTAATAGTCTATGTGTTCCCAACAGGGAGAAGACGAGTCAGTCACCCTGAAGTCCTGCACACGGCGGAAAACAGACTCGATCGAGAAGAGGTTTTGCTTTGATGTAGAAGCAGTAGACAGGTGAGTAGCTGTCACACTTTTCCCAGGAACAAATACTACTGGATTTGGATTTCTTGTCTTTTCCATTCAGTCAAAATTTTTGGTTTCTCCCTCTCTTTCCCTTCTTCATCCTTCTATTGAGATTCAGTTGGGAATAGACCCCAGGTTCGTTACTGATTTTTAAGGATCAGTCCACATTCCCACTGTTTTAGGTTCCACTGAGCTGCTGGTTGGTTGGTTTTATTTAAGTGCGAGGGCTTCTTATCTCAGGGATGTGCATTATGTGTCTCAGGTTATTAAATCGATGTTTAAATAAAATCAACTATTTAGCATGACTGTATCAGCTATGTGAGATTTTTTTACTTTAAAAATGCTTAATTTTAAAATTTTAATAAAATAATTCAAAAGGAATTGTATAAAGGGGAGGGTGGAAGACATTCTCCTCAATTAAAAAAAGACAGCTTTTAGTTACTGCATTTCACCTACCACTGTGTGTGTGTGTGTGTGTGTGTGTGTGTGTGTGTATGTGTGTTTACCCAGGAAACACAGCAACCCACTTGTGAAATCATAGTCTTTGAAGAGAGAACTTGGTGTTGTATTCCTCAAGATTTATAGAGTCTCATTAAGTTGTACCATTTTGTGGTGTTAAGCTAGTTTGACAACATTCCAATTCTTAGAGACATTTTACTTGGCAACAGGTTAATTCTTTCAATGAAAGCCACGTGTTCAGCTTATTTGAGCTGTCTGTTCAAGATCAGCAGTGCTAGCGGGAAGATCCTTAAAGCCCAGAAGGATTCTTATGTAATACCACCTAATTTCTCCCCTTTACCAGCCATTTTGTTAAGCCAGTACTTTTACCCTCCTTGGGACATTAACCTGTGGCCACTCAGCCCCAACTCTAGAGGATCCAGAAACTGAGTGCCACCTGGGTGTGCTCCTCTGCATGTGGGCAGGTGTGGAATGCCTCCTTGTACTGTGATGTCTGTCTGCACTGTGGCTGCTGGAAGCTGCTAGAACTCTCATGCAGAGAACATGCCCTCTGGCCTAAATGAGAAGTTCTTGGGAACTAACTGTGTCTCTTTAGCAGTTTAGTCTTTACAACTTTGGCTCTCTAGTCAGGCAATCTAGATCTAAATTTTGACTTTGTTTAGTAGCCATGTGATTTTGGGCAAGTTACTTAATCTCTCAGGTCCTTAATTTTCTTATCTGGAAAAATGAAGATGGTAATCGTACCTAGTTCCTAGAATTGTAAGCATTCAAGAAGAAAATGCATATAAAAATACTTGGCAGGGCCTAGCCAGTGTGGCTCACTGCTTGAGCATCGGCCCACGCACCAAGAGGTTGCTGGTTCATCTCCCGGTCAGGGCACATGCCCAGGTTGTGGGCTCGATCCCCAGTGAGGGGGCGTGCAGAAGGCAGTCAGTCGATGTTCTCTCTCATCGATGTTTCTATCTCTGTCTCTCCTTTTCTCTCTCTAAAATCAATAAAGAACAATTATTTTAAAAAATACTTGGCAGAGTGGCAAATAATAAATGCTCAAGTATTAGCTGTTATTATTTATTATTAATTGCTTATCAGACTTGATATTTCATAAGACTATACTCTAAATATAGAGAAATAAATATAATTGTAAAGAAAAGAAAATATCCCAGGCTTTTATCGTATCTGGGATATGAGAAGGGAAGGTGATGGGGAAGGGTTGTTGAATTTGGGGTAGCCAGTGGGTATTGCAAAAAGTGTGCCTCAAATTAGAATTGCTTATTCTTAATTTTAAACATCTTAAATCAGGATGCTTTAAGCTCTTGTAGACTTCTTTTTTTTCTATCCAAGAGTGGAATTTAAGAGAATTCATATTGTTGGCCTCCGTGAAAGAGATTAAGAAAATGTGTTTGTTTGGAAGTGGAGCCAGTTGTTAGATGCTGGTTAAATGTCTGGTTCCTAGAGATGACCGTTTGTTCACATGGCTGTTTGGAAGAGGACATGCCTTGCATTGCAGTTCTTGGTTAGACAGGATGCGAGCTCTGTGATGCTTTTTGAAGCTGAAATATTTTCTGCTTCAGATGTTTCCCCAGAAGTTGTAGACATTTGCTTTTTAGACAATTAAAATTCACCATGGTTTCTTCATCCTCATTTCTACCCTTGTCAACAGTTCATACCACCTTCTCCATTTACTATTCCCATAAAAGCTTTGTAAGTCCCAATTATATGCTGAGAGTAAATGTGTCACATTCAACATGCTGAGCAGGTTTGGGAAGTCGGTTTCTTCTAAGTTGCTGCCTCTTCTTCCTTTGGCATGAAATCAGGGGTGCAGCATGAGGCTGCTAAATCAATCTCCTTTTAATAAGCAGGACATGAGTAGATAGTTCTGTTGTAATACTTGCGTTTTTTATTTTCTATGCAATTTAGTGTTTCGACACTTAAAAACCTTTCTGACTAGGGAAAGTATCCCTCCCAGAGCTAGCCACTTCTAATAGATAGCAAAGGGCATTTGGAGGTTTATCTTTTTTTTTTTTATCCTCACCCGAGGACATTTTTGCATTTATCTTCAGATAGGGAGGAAGAGAGAGAGAGAGAGAAGTATCGACGTGAGAGAGACACATCCACTGGTTGCCACCGCCATGACCCCAACCGGGGTCGGGGACAAACTGCAACCGAAGCATGTGTCCTTAGCGGGAACCAAACCCAGGATTCTTTATTCTGCAGGCTGATCCTCTAACCGCTGAACTAAACCAGCCAAGGCAGAGATTTATCTTTTTTTTCCCCCTGAAAGTGTGTCATTTCTTTTGGAGAGAGTTTGGAGTAAAATTCCTGAGTGAAAAAGAGACATCTATCGTGGGGATCACTCGTAAATTACATAATTGTCTAACCACTATGCTGTACACCTGAAACTAATATAAAATAATATTGAATGTCAACTGTAATTGAAAATAATTTTTTTTAAATGGACTTCATCTAAAAGCAGCACGTGAATTAGCGGTAGTGGCACGTGAATTGCAAATACTTGCCAGTGTCTATCTTTAGTCACTTTAAATGATTAACTCCACCATGCAGCATCTTACAGAAATTAATCAGCAAACATAGGGAAAATATTTGTTTAAGCAAAAGGATCCTGGTGGTAGTCATCTCCCAACATCCCTGGATTTGTTTATTTTTAAGAAATGTCTCACAGATGTAAGTGCCACATGGTTGTTTTCTCCCAAATGTTTTCCAGGAGGGGCCACTAAACCATATGGAAAATAATAGAAACAAAAGGCTTCTTTTGATGCACTGAATCAACGTAGCCTCTTGAGGGGCAGTGTTTATACTTGGGGAAAGGAAACCATTAGAATGCTGTATTTTTTCCAGGGCTAGCAGCCTCCAACAGAAGTTCATACGTTTGGAGATATGTGGAGTGTTAAATGCCACGTCTCCAGCGGTGGCACTCTCCAGAGGTGGCAGCAAAGGATACTTGTGCTCCTGGTGTAATAGGGACCAAGACAAGCGTAGTTCTTGCCTTCATGGAACTTACCTTTGAGTGTAGAATGCACCTCTCCCCCGTACCGTACATACACATTCATGCAATTACAATGGTGGAAATGTAACAGAGGGACCTTACTCTTTTACAGAAAATGATGGTATGACTAGAATACCTGAGTTCATCTTCCTCCCTCCTTCACTCCCTCCCTCCCCACTTCCCTTCTTCATTTATTTAGCATAAATTTATGCCAGAGACTCTATGGACAGTGGAGATATAAAGTTTAATGAGGCACTATGAATCTATTGGACTTTGTGTCTTAAAAGTCATCACATGATTTTTCTTTCAAGCCAAATTTGAAGTCCTCCTTTTGCAAGTGTTGCACTAATAGGTAAAGAGAGACTGCTTTCCTCTGGACCAGTCCCAGTGAGGCATGTCACACCCACTGTCTTGGTCTCCCCACCATGTCCTGTGTACTTGCACAGTATATGAGCTTTACTTAGTATTGGTTGGCTGGCTGTTTAATTAGGCATGTTTTATATATCTCTGTTCATTTCTAAATATCAGTCTCAGGTAATTTTCTTCCAGAGGCAGAATAACATCATGTCTTACAGATTTTTTTTTTATCCTCACCCGAGGACATTTTTGTTTGTTTGTTTTTTGTTCAAATAGAGTGGGAGGGAGAGAGAGGAAGAGAGAGAGAGAGAAACATTGACGTGAAAGGGACACATTGAGTGGCTGCTACCTGCACAACCCAACCAGGGCCAGGGACAAACTGCAAACAAGGTACTTAGCGGGAACCGAACCCAGGTTTATCTGGACCATAGGCCAACGCTCTAACCGCTGAGCCAGACCGACCAGGGCCATGTCTTACAGATTTTAATACAGTACTGTGTGCATGTAGATGCTCAATTTTGTTTTTTATGGTAATGCAATTTTTGAGTTACATTGTTTTTCCTTTGGGTCTTAGTGAAATGTTGTGAAAGAGACTACAGGTGCTTAATCATGTTAGTTGCTATTTAAACTAAAACTTCAGCAAGTACATACATGATCTGCATGTCTATATAGGTAGGACAAAACCTCCCAGGAAAATAGATGGTTGGTCAAAGTAAGGATAGTGGAGGCTAGAAAGATTTAAACCTATTTAAATCGTCTAGTATGGCACAACCTTTATTTCAAGTATGTTTTTACAGCAGGCTGCGTGATACAAGTGAAAGATCAAAGCAGCCGCAGGTTTGAATTTGGAATCTGCTCCTTACCAGTCATGTGCATTTGGGCAAGTGGTGTAACCACATCTGTGAGATGGGGCTTATCATACTTACCTTGCAGGATTGTTTTGAAGATGGAATGTATTAATATTTATCCCTGATGCAGTCCTGTGTTGGAATAGGTGGTGCTTTGAATTTTTTCTCTCCTCTAAAACCTGGGACTTCATTGTACTTATGGGGAACCTTAGTTTTGATGGGTATGTCTTTGAGCCCCGTTTTTCCCCCATCCTGATTGTGTTCCTTTTCCTATAGTGTCATGAATTTTCCAGTCACCTATAAGCTGAGAGTGAATACAAATG